CCCCCCCTTGCCGAATTTCTGGATCCGCCAGTGGTTTTACAATATGAAATTCACCTCGTTTCGCCGGGTTATGCGTGTAATGTTTGTTGTCTGCTCTTTTTGTTAAATGCAAATATCATTTCTGATGACCCCTTCCCATGATGCAAGACACAACAAGGAGTGAAAATCATACCAAAGTTGCACTCGTTTTTAAGGATACTGAACATACCCTAGATAGTTTACAGTGACACACCAGTACCAGTTCAAAAATCAGCCCATATTTGTTTCCGCCCCGTGATATATAATAACTTATCCCTAAGTAAATCCAAGAGTGATGTTTCAGTTTGCATAGAAACAAGAAAATCTCAATTTTTCAAAACTGAGACACAAATATATTTCCAGACACCTTCGGTTATTAATGGATTATTCAGGCGATGGAACATACAGTTGACGTGACTAGTGCCTACAATTAGGCAGAAATGTGTGAAACAGAATTATCTTGGCGATAAGGAGTTAATATATATTTGCAATATGGCTGCATCCGCAAATCTTCGTTCGAGAGGATAGAAAACGTGCACACACGAAATTAGTTTAGTAATCGTCGTCGTGTCTCACTGCACTGTGAATTCCCCTAAAATAAGTTACTCCAAAATGCGTTTTTCCCCGTACCTAAAATAGTGTTATCCGACACACCCGTCGGATATTACAAACAGGAAAAGATCAAATTGGCGCGTATCGTGGCCTGCATCACGCAGCAAATTTTCTGCGCGAACAGACTGTTGTCAGTTTCTGAACGCAGACGACATATTCATCGGACTATTGGTATGGGCGGGAAATGTTCCACAATTGAAACAGACAACTCGTAACATAGAGGCATGATACCATTATTTTATGTGAAAATATAAAATATGATTTCGTTAATTCAACAACAACAAAATGAAAGAATGTTACTTCCGTGAGAGCGTGAATAATCGATCGCGTTAACTCCCACGCAGGCAGAGTTGGCATTTCCCGCCCGCTATTTCAAAGAAATCCATATACTTTATTATTTAGACAAGCGTTGAAACCGTTCATCATTACAAACAATACAACGACGTCAACAGAGGGTAAAATGATAGTATATTTGATTATGTTTATTAATGAAACACAGGCGGCTGCTTTTCTCTGAATCGGTTCTCTCTCGTGTGTCAAATGATGAAAAAAGAGCGTATCAAAAAGAGAAATGTTAGGTGCATTGCGTGGTAATGTAAACATCGCACCGCTATAATAGTTAAAGATAAATTTAATCGTGGGTGATACAAAAGCACGTACGGCATCACAAATCATTTTAATAACAGCCGTCCCGGCATGTAATTTATAGCGAGTTTTTATTCTGAAGAGAGCGGGAGGGGTACAGAAATATATTGTTTAATAAACAATAACGCCGTACCAGGATAATTAAATAACTTAACAGACAGCGCCTGTAATGATCTTGGTCAAGTCAAGCTAAAGTTCGTTGACATGCCATTTCTGCGACACAGGCTCGTTACGTAATTACCCCTAAGGGTGACACCTTCTTTCAATATAGTCATAAGGAAAGTGATATTGATTTCAATTTAAACCCGAACGATCCAATTAAATCCCCAGTGACGTGGTGACTGGGACGCTGTAATGATTTCATTCGATGTAAACCGCAGCTCGTTGTATTTTAGTCGGGACTACATTAAAGCGGACGCGGACTAATTTGTACAACATTTTCTTCCTCGAAGGCTTTTTTTTTTTCTATTCTGCTTTGTAGAAATCTACACTACTAGTATATAATATTCACGGACACAGCGTGTGTGGTACGATTCAGTGGAGTCATTCACGCTCCAACAAACAATCGTTTAGTTTGGAAAATCCCCTGATATTCCAGTGCTTATTTTTGATTTCTTACAATTACAAAACGTTTAAAAATAAAGGCGTGCACAAATAAACAATGTGTTTTACACGAGTTGTATATGTCGCATGGGACCCATATCGATCACGCCGCGACACAATGATCACCTCCCTTGAACATCAACTGAGGTATGAGTGGTAGCAGGTTGAATTATTTTTGAGTAAATAAATAGGGCGCGCAATACAACCACATTATTGAATACAGTACAGGGTCCCTTTAAAATATCGTCTTACTTCGTGATGTCAAGGTTCAGAGCAAGCAAAACAAAAACAAAATGCAGTATTTCCGATGACATTGTTTCATTCCCGGCAGCCACTTATATCACAATATTAGTCTACTAGTATTACATACACACTGACTTCGTGACGTCATGGTATTCAAACCAGCGTGCAAATTGTGATAAAATATACAATATATGACAGAATTTGAAGGGGAGGAGTTTTCTAAAGGTACATTGTTCGTGGATTCAATGATCCCAACCATTCAAACGTCTTCGCGCCATCGACTTCTTTTTAGTGAATTTAGTACTCGTTGTGCAGACGACATTAATATTTAACACTTTTCTGAATACGGTGGTAGTTTGCGCGATTTTAGTTCATTTGGGCAGACGATAAAATATCTAAACACTTTTTTGAATGCCGACGGTAACGCGTGAGTGTAGCTCATTATATATACGATGCAATATCTAAACATTTTGCGCGCAGCTCCTGCAGACGATACATTATCTAAACACGTGTCTGAACCCAACGGTATGTGTAGACGTAGCCCTGCGTACATGGCTGTGTAGGGGTGATATTTACATTGGGCTTCTTACGCCACCATTGGGGCGCAGATAAGGTCCCGATGAATAGGAGCGCCTCCACATTCACACACCTGTACACAGAGCTAGTGTAGACGTAGCTTTTTGTGCAGACGATAATGAGATCCAAACACTTTCTTGAATGCCAGACGACAATATGTAGGTGTAGCTCAATATTGTACCATATAGAAAGTCTAATTTCCCCGCTAATTAATTTTAGCGTATATCAGTAATGTTTGAACCAAAGAGCAAACTAGTCCTTTTTTTATACTAATCATTAGTTTTGAATGTAGTATGTAATGTGTTTTTATTGACGTTAAAACACGTGGAACTATCTCGTGAAGACAGATTAAATTAATCAAATAAAACAATAAAGCAGGAAATATGACCGAACCGATTGTCTGCTTCTAATTTGGGATCTGGTGGCGGTAAAATAATAGATCCCGATCTAAATATATACTGGCGTACTGAAAACCCGCAATATTAAAACGCACTAAACGCAATCCAAAATTTCAATACTTTAGATCTGGCGTGCCGACCTCACCGTGACCTTAAATACCTATAGTCTGATAATCATTCTTAGTTTGTTTGGAGACGTAAATATTTCAACAATCGCATGACCTCGAGTGGGTAATTTTCATCGCTGTAAAAATATTTATGATTTATTACAGATGAATGCGTCGATAAGAAAGGTTATTCGATAGTCATTTAACAGTCTATATGCCAAACCAACAACAGCACGTGATTGGACGCTGAAATTGACACAGAGGGAAAATTTGTTTACAAAACAAGAGTTAAAATATGACGACATATGACCGCCAGAGCGCCATTGAAGTCACAACAAGTCTATATTACTCATCATTAATACAGTCCCCCACATACTGACGCGGTGATCAAGCCGGAGGTCTCTAGTAATCTCACACTTAAATTGCCCACTGTTTCATATCATCTGCTGCACATGCCAATTTGTAGAGAAATAAACATTGATCGGAGTTCTCTATTTGCTTCACCCGGCCGTACTACGCAAGTCAATAAGTATGCCCTAATATGGTCCTGGAGGTGGTTAAGCCCTGTTCGTGACGTAGAAAACAACAATTGTTTTGTGTTTTTTGATGCGACGTGCGTAATCCCTCACGCCCGCACACTAAATTCACGTGCTTGATCATGCATGCTCGGAGAATTCTATCGACTTGGTAGATAGTAATAAGTATCGGCCGTATCGAGACTACTTTGGATTCTTAAATCCGACTAATTTTAAACGGATGGTCGCACTATAAAACGTAATAGTATATGTTATATGTCATTATGAAACATATTATGCATTAAAAACAAATAAATAACTTAATAAATAGGAGTATTTAATATTATTATTTGTTTAGTTAAAATTTGGGAGCGATATGTGTATATATATATATATAACACGTAATTCCAAATACATGCCTATAATTTACCATATATATATATATACTAATATACATTTTCCAGTTTTACGTGGCGCGATCGCCGTGATTAGGAAATGGTTTGTAAAATTGGTTGCAATCTATAATATTTAGTACGCTTAAAAAACGAATAATACTGACATACAGAGCTGTTTAACTGTAGGCATTTAATGAGGTGTTGTCGATAAGCACGCTTTAATGCACCGAACGTTCTGTCGTCCATTATAACACCACAATATAGGAAGCAAATTAGCGCCGATTGCCAGCTTGCTTTTCCAGTCTACGTGCTGAAGTCCACGATTGAACTAATACAAAACCAGCGTCTCACAATAAGCCGTGTTACGTTTGTATTTTGTTAGTTTAATATCGTTGTGACAGGTATTTGTGTTTTTTTTTAAATATACACTGGCTCCAACACGCTAATGCGATCCCAGTCGCTCGTACCTTGACGTCACACCCAACCAGGCAAGCTGTTAAGAATGATGAATTGTGGGATACATCTAGGCTGGTATTCGCTGCGCTGGGTTATATACAATACGTGTTGTCGCGTCTCCGCTGTCTGACCGACGATCGGCGTTTTGACGACGCTACCAGCATGACCAAGGTGGATTCCAGCAAGTACATGGAACTGTCGACGATCGGGGAACAAGTATTCGCCGCTGAGTTCATCGAAAAACGTCGAATTCGCAAAGTAAGTGTCAGGTTCTGGCGTCGATGGCGGGGTGGCTGTATAGGCAGCGACGTAAATACTGCTCCGTGTACGTATTGACAGTGAGCCATTGCGACACACTTGGGTTAATTTGAACACAGATACAATTTCAGCGTGTCGTAATTTTTTCCCTTTTCTTCACAGGGTCTTGTTGAATATCTAGTAAAATGGAAAGGTTGGTCAAGCAAGTGAGTGTATAGTGTTGTTTATCCCGTTTCCGTATTGTTACTTTCTGTAACTTAAAGCAAACACTGAATAACACTCGTATAAATTTGGTTGAATCCGTAGATACAGCACATGGGAACCGGAATCAAACATTCTCGACGCCCGGTTATTGCAGGCGTTTGAAACACAGTAAGTCAAATACTCACCGCGTCAATATCCCCTCATGCTATAGAACGTATCGTTTTATTTATATATTTTTTTCACCGACACGCACGTTAAATTACAAAGTAGTAGGGCACTTTATTTCAAAGGCCTCCGCTAAACCACTCGGGGTTCCATTTAATTTGCAGTAAATGCGTCGTACATGGAGTACTTAATACCTTGTCTCTTTTCTCACGTTCTCTAGGCGACAAGCTAGATTGCAAGTTCGAGGTTTCCGGGGAAGAAAACACAAGAGTCGTATTTATAACTTTAACAAGGTGAACGCATTATGTAGTATTGCTTGTTACATGCATACCTTCAATTGAATATATGACATACTCCAAACACTAACATATTTGTTTTTAATTCAACGATAGATATATAATTTAATTATGTATTTAATGTCCTATAACAAGTGGAATATTATATTCGCATAATATATATATATATTTATTTTTTATTTATTTATGTTCATTCATCTAATTTTCTTTAGTTCTCTTTACGACAGAGAAATTACAAAGACAAAATAGATGTGAAGAAATGTTCCGAGGAAGAAGACGATGACGATGATGACGACACAGAAATAGAGGGTTCAGACAATGACGTCGCACATTGCAGCAATATTCGACATGGTGCTAGGAAAAAAATGAAAATGAATCATTCGCGGAATGTATATGAGAACACTGATGATTCGAATCACGGGCATATGGATTCGGGCGAATCCATAATCCATAATAATAACAACAATAATGACGTGGACCATAAAGACGGGAAAATAACAGACACCATGAATGGCAAAACAAGCAGAAACGAATTGTCAAAAGGTTCAACAAAATCATCGCGTCTTTGCAGTGTTATTAGATCGACAGATAGTCTCAAATTAACAATTGTTGCCACCGAGAAGTCGCAAACTAACGAGAAGTCAGAACGCAAGTATTCCCCTCTGCATACGGACAAACAAAATGGATGCAATAGGAATTTTCATTATAGCGGCGATAGTGGTCATGGAAACGAGGTGAGCCAACCAATCGCATTCGAGCCACCTTTGACACCAATATCGGAAGAAGACTGCGTTAAAAACGAAAGGCTGGATGCACAGAATGAGGCACCTACAACAAGAAATGCGGGAAGTGACGTCAGCAGACCGAAGTTCTTTGATTATTATGGTGGCTTTGAATATATCGACTGGAAGCCAAATGTACCCAGCAATGACGTCACGGTAACGGACGTAACAGCGCAAGACGTAACGATCACTATCAGAGAAAACGCCACCGGCGTTGCTTTCATTGCGACGAAATGACCTACCGTGCAATATGGCCTGGCCTTGACATATTGACGAGTATCCATAATGTGAAACTGTTGTTACAACATATGGGAGGATCGTTTTGTAACTGGTGGTGTTAATTCTGAAGATTCTGTCGCATTTGGGCGATATAGGGTGTTGGGGACGGGGTGAACAAACTATGCTTGTATATTTCATACAGTATTCATACTTTATTTTACATATTTCAATACTCACGTGTACGTAGAAAACTTGGAAATAGACTCGAATGGATGGGATATTGTATAAATAAGTATTAAAGTGAAATATTAAACAAATATAATAATATGCACATGTGTAGTTTTGGGATTGTTATTGTGATTATAATCTTCCAGTATTACAATGTTAGTAGTGCGTCTATAGTTGCATTAGCAGTGTATTATACTGAAAACCGCTGTACGGGAGCACGAACTTCATTTGGCAAGTGTAACAAATATAATAATATAGTTTATGTTCAATTTGCAAACAAATAGCGATCATAAGACTATTAAATGAGACAGACGTGTTGAATTATTAGCCTGTCTATATACGAATAATGCCAATCATAATACAGCGAAGTTACGTAAAGCTGATAATTCTGTAGCATTATCGTTCCGAGATTTAAATTGATACGTATTCTGCCAGTCTAGACATTGTCCCGCCAAAATTTAAGTTATTTTTCGAACAAAACATCTAATCCGACGAGGCCGCGTCTAACACTAAATAGAGCTGATATGATGATGAGACATAATACTAATGTTGTCGATTTAGGCGGCACGGAATTCCTTCTTTCTGTGCGATAGGTCAGGTGCACGTTTCAGATATACACACGCGAATTACGCTAAGGTTTAGCAAAAACAACAACAACAACAACAACAAAAACGTCAGGACAGAAGTGCAAAGTCTTGATCGATTACATTTGATGGGATTTTAACGGATAAAATCGAACGTTACGTGAACTCGGTCACTCTGCCGTTTTGATCAGCGTAATGAGCATAATACTGGATAATTTCTGACACAACCTAGTACTTGTTTTCAACACTACTACGACCTCGTGTTTTGCGTGGACACAAAATGGCTACTCCATTCTTTCATGGAAAAAAATGAACTCTCGATCACATGACACTCCGCGTGACAATTATCAACCAATGGCAATATATGTTACACTTTGTATTTCCGTTTGAACAAAGAACACGCATTTCGACGACGAACATACGTGTTTGTTTTAATTTCCGCTAAATGTAATTTCGGAAATGTGTTCAATATCTGTCGTGGTGTTGCTGTTGCCATTATTACATATTTACGAATACGGGAAACAGTGATACGGCACGTAGATCTATCAAAGGAAATTCAACATTCCTGTTCGTGACGTTACCACTAAATTCTCTCTATATAAATCAAAATTCCTGTTTTTAATATATTTGTTTGCGTAAAGACGAATTTATTGTAAATCATTGTAAGTCGGGGGTTTCAGAGAAAACAATTAAATCTTATACGTCATTTCCGCATTTGCAAATACAGAGCCGCTGTAGATTACGGTATCGTGTGTTGTGAGCTACAACATTTTATTTCAAGTTTAATAATTGATACGGGTGCATTTCACGCCCAGTGCTTTTATTTTATGCGGGAATTGACAGGAGTAGTTGGGGATATTGGTATTTATCGTCTAGTCACGATCGATAACGTCTGGTGCTAAAAATACACATTATTTTTATATCGCGATTACGGCCTTTACAATCGTATATAATTGAGTGCATATATAGGGAGGGGGTGACGAGACGTGTGTGAGACCATATCATTATTGTTTCACTTCCTGCTCAGAGTCTGCAAAGATTCGAGATTATTGTCGAGCAGCAGTGGAGTCGCCCCGGTGTTTTGTTGCAGGTCAAGCGGACACTCCAATACTCTAATTTGTTTTTGGTCACTGATCGCGCTTTCACAACAAATGTCTTTCCGTATAGAAGGCGATGTTGTTCTATTTAACAGACCATGGCGCGTTTTTTTTTTTTTTTTTACATCAACGGATATCGTCGCCATTTTTGTTCAGCGTGTATGTTTCGCTTTAAAGTCGCCGTGTTCAAATGTATATCTTAGTGCATGCTACAATTACCACCATGATTTATTAATAAACATTTGGTTACGTTACCAGGGGCAACGCATAACATCGACGCCAATCTGCGGGTTTTAAAAAAAATGTAACTGCTAGTAAGACATCCCGTATTGGAGAGCCGTGTATATAAACACATAATTATATATGACTAATTATGGCGCCAAAATCTTAGACTCTGAAAACAAAAAATGTGTGAGCGTGTTAGCTTCTGCATGATAACGTGTACTATATTTAACGACGTCAATTATACCACTACAAGGAGACGCGTTACAGAATTTGATTAGAATATTTCCTTTACAATTGTGGCTATGCTGGTTTATACTCAACACGGATAAAGAGAAGAGAACATGTTGCGGTCAGGACAACGTATGACTCTGTCTGATACCATACCACGTGACTAATGCTGTGCCACGTGTTCCTTGGCTAACCCGATATACAACAGAAACGTGTGGGTCTTTTCAAAGTCCGTGCCACATTTATTATTCAAAAAAACATAATTACATTTTCTGTGCAACTGTGATGGTAGGAAGGGCGGTGACGAATTAATTTAGCGAATTTTGATGACAAATTTGCTCAAGTCTCCGCTCACCATGTTTTTGTTCGTCGGAAATTAAACTGGTGTGTACTGTAAAACGGTTCAGGTAGAAGAGTTGTGTACACTCTGTCATAAACGCACTGATAGGATACATTACTAACCCACATAAGGACACAATTTATATTTTTTCGAGTAACACACCAAAATAGGGAGTAATGTACGTTTCGTCGTTGTGACACACTCAAATAAGACGTAATATACATTTATCTGCAGCTACAACCCCAAATAAAACGTAATATACGTGTATCCATAGATACACACACAAATAAGGACGTAATACACATGTATCCGCAGTTAAATATCCAAATAAGACGTAATATACTTAAATCCGTAGTTACATGCACAAATAAGGACGTAATATACATTTCCAAGTAGCTACACACCCGAAAAGCATTCTAATACGGACATACTGTAAAGGGGGTAATTATTCACTGGGTTTTAATTTAGCTTATTTCGCTGACTGGAAAAATGCACTAAATTAAAACACAGTGAATATGTAAAATTTAACATAGAACACATTATCTAAATGACGAAACCGTGAATATAAAACCCACTGATTATGCCTGAAATGGTAAATCAGTGAAATTTTAACCCAGTGAAAATTAGTCATTTTACAGTACTATATATGTACCCGTAGCTGCATCGCCAACAAGAATAAAACACTTTCAACTACATATTGCTCTAAAATAACCCGAGGGCACTGACTTGTTTATGTACAATACAGCTGACATGAGGTGGCACAGATCGGTAGAGTATTATTGTTTTGATTTTAGAGAAGTTCGAAAACATGACATTTGCTCAACAATTCCTATCCAAGTGGAATTACGTACAGAACGTTGCTCTATCTGTGTTTACGTAGTTAACAATGGGTTATTGATTTCCTGAAACTTTTTTTTTTTAAATACCCATTGCACAAACTTAAAGTTTGTTCCAACTTGATTGAACCTCACATAGCAATAAAAAGAAATTGATTTCTTGAATGTGGAACTGCTTCCCTGAAGAAGTATTATGGTTTTCATTGTAACTGACCTATTTTCTACCTTTCGAATTTTCAACCGAATCAGACAAGTCCAATTCCTTCACAAATGCTCACATACCTTACCAATAACATTTCAAAGGTTTTGGGGAGAACTTGCTAAAGCTGGCGATATAATGGCACCATTAAAATCTAATAGCAATTTATTCATACATTTGTAGTTACCCGTACTTTAATTGCCAGAAAACAACTTGAAGGCCACACTGGTCCTACCAAACGAAAACGATATGTTTCCCAGATTGCTGAAATGTTGACAATAGACTGGAAGTCGACAACAGCATGTAAATACATTCTGAGGAGCGATGGCAAAATTTACAACAACAAAAAAACAGAAAAAAATACTGGGTCCCCAGGATTTCTAAGACCCATCCCTAAACTGGGTGATTATGAAAAGAATACAAGAACATATGGATTTAGATATTCAGAAAAGGATATTTAATAACAGAATGAAACATACATAACATGCGTATATTCAAACTCAGTACCCAATTGTGAAGTTGTAAAAATCTATAATTATAAGCAAAATTAGTTGCTGATTGAACGACGAACTTATTATTATAAAATTATCATCGTTTCAGTGACATCAAGTTAAACGTTGCTATGTTTGGTCTGGCTGTTTTTAATCGCCATTTTGAGTTTCGAAATGTTATTTACCACTTTATAAACTAATCGTAAGCTACATTGAATTTCATAGGTAACCTGAAATATATTTTCGATGTGAAATATACGTTTAAAAAGTAACCATAAGCTTGGGTATCATCAATAAGTGAGTAGTCAACACGAACATCGAAGAAAACGAAAACAGTTCACATGAGACAGTGCTTATTAAACTATAATAATAACAATAATGTCTTTATTACATCGTAATGAATAATGACAGTTCATCTTAAGTTGAAGTAATAAAATATAAACAAGTAGAATACAAGACAATAAACACAACATATATACAAAAGATTACTATATATGTTTACTGAATGAAGTTTTTTAAATAATGAACTACCTGTCTGATCATGTGTATGTTTTAATAAACTTGTTCGTCGTAGAAAGGTATTGAATTTGTTTCTAGAAATGGTTATATATTTTTGCGCGTTCGTTGATAGAACTGTCACAGGTTGTTACAGTAATAAAATAAATTTCATCTTCTACAACATTGCACTTTTTGCATAGTCTATCCTCCTTAGGTATTTTAGGTCGTTTGTGGCGGCTCAGTTCATTTTTTAGCTTATGGCTACTTAGTCTGAGCTGTGACATCATTTCAATATCATTTCTGTTATGGAGAATTTTTAAGTAATGATGTTTGACTAATAACATATTTTAGTAGGCTGTATGTTCTCAATTTTGAGTCAGTTCTATTAATGTTTTTTTAGCCAAGAGTTGTTATAGTGTGTCGTTAAATGTTTTTTTTGATATAGTCTTAATATCAATCTCATAAAAGTCTTGTATTTTGTTGAGTCCTTTTAACCATGATCTCTTGTAACAGTGATGTTCAAGTTCTTTGACTGCATGATATGTGTTGATATTCAAGTTGAGCTTTAATGATCAATGGTAGTCTTGCATTTTCCAGTCTGCAGC